CACCTCAGCCTCCCAAAGGCGCGGGATTACAGGCTGAGCCACCGAGCCCGGCTATTGTCGCCTCTTCATATGGCTCTATAATACTCCACTGTCTGGACGGACCACATTTGCTTCTCCATTCACCAGGTGACAGGCATTTGAGCTGTGTCCACTTTGTGGCTGTTACAAATTGTGCCTCCATGAGCCTGTGTGTACACAGTTCTGTGTGGATGTCTGTTCTCATTTCCCTGGTATCCCGAGGGTGGGACTACTGGGCACAGGGTGACTGTGTGGAACAGTTCTGGGCACTGCCAGGCTGTTTTCCGCAAGGCCGCCCACCTTCCCTCCCCATCAGCCATGTACAGGGCCCCTGTTTCCCAACACCACCTCCATCATGGGTCTTCTTGATGGGGCTGCAGAGGCAGCTCCCTGCAGAACCCTCACCAGTCAGCCTCCAGTTCCAGCCCAACCCCTGGGCTCCCTGGGGCTCAGTAAGCCTTGGTGCCCCTCCTGGTCCTAGTGGGATGGATGGGCCCTTCGTGGGGGGCGGCTCTTTCTGAGTCAGCCTCTCTGCCAGCTCCTACCCAGGCTCCCAGAGGGCCTTCTGCCTGCAAGGCTCCACCAGGCCCTACTATGCTTTCTCTTATGACTGGCTTTTTTCACTCAGCGCCATGTCATTCCCTCGTCTGTGCCTCTGACCAGCATCCTGTGGTTTCCCTGTGGCCCCTCTGATGGCTGCAACTCAGAAGTCACACCCCTGCCACCACCTCCCACCGCCTCCTTGCTGAAGCACTGAATGGCACACCCCCGCAACTTTTTGGCATCTGCCTCACTCCTTCCCAGTCCCCCTCTTCTTTCCACCCATCCCCTTCAATGCTGGATTGAAGGCCACCTCAGCTCTGGTCCTCCTCTATTCCAGGGATCCTCACTTGATTAATCTGCCCCTTTCGGGAAATCTGGGGCTCTCCCTGACTATCTCACATGGCTCTCCAGCGAGACCAGCTGGCTTTGACCCCATGGGGACTAGGTATGACATTACACTCCTTGTCCGCTGCTTTCGTTTCCAAAAAGTGAATTTAATCTACCTGAGCCCTTCCTTCACTGAGCTGATGAAAATTCCATCCCAAATATGAGCATGTCACCCACCTAACTCAGGGTCCTGCCACACAAAGAACCCAAGCTCCCTAACCCAGCCAGAGCCCTGGAGGTCCCAAGGCCAGGGTGGGGGGGCAAGGCAGCGACTGGGCCTGGGCCGCGGATGGAGGTGGAGGGATGCAGGAGAAACCAGCTCAGGGCAAAGGTGCCCGCCAGCGGGGCCACCTTCATGTGTGACCCGTGCAGTCACACTCAGACAGGCCCATATTTGGTTTAAAGCTCTGGAGTCACCATCTTAAAACTCTATTTAATATATTCTGAACAAGGGCCCCAGGTTTTCATTTCCCACTGGGTCTCACAAACCCTGCAGGTGTGCGGAGCCACCCTCCTCTAGCTTTTCCCAGAGTCTTGGGAATGCCCTCTCGTGGCTGCTCACCAGCATGGACAACCAGAAAGCCAAGGAAAATCACCAACCTAGGCTGCTGTGGACCTTACTATTCTGCTCCATGATTCTTCATCGGCCATTTCCCTAAGGGTGATGGCACACCTGAACTGAACTCATTTGGGGACAAAAGCTGGCCCAATGGCTGTTCACAGACTCGACTTCTCTTAGTGTGGACATCCATGTGCTGTGCTGCCGAAACAACAGCATGCTTGATAGTGGGATGTGGCCCTGACCGCCCTGGGTGTTATGTAATACACAAGCTATGCATCCAGCAATGATGCCAACATGCAGAAGGCTCCCAAAAACAACTGGCCCAAGGTTTCAGATATGAGACCGTGGGCATGTCAGCTCATTTAGTCTTTAGGACCTTGCTCTTGATAAAAAGTGTATAAAGAAGGTACATTTTTGTCCCCATCTCACAGATGAGGAAACTAAGACACAGAGGGGTTAAGAAACTTGCTTTGAGCTGGGCACAGTGGCTCACACCTGTAATCCCAGCACTTTGGGAAGCAGAGGTGAGAGGATTACCTGAGCCCAGGCATTCGAGACCAGCCTGGGCAACTTGGAGAGACATCATCTCTACAATAAATCAAAAACATTAGCCAAGTGTGGTAGTGTGTGCCTACAGTTCCGGCTACTAGGAAGGTTGAGGTAGAAGGATCACCTGAGCCAAGCGACTTGAGGCTGCGGTGGCCATGAGTGTGCCACTGTATTCCAGCCTGGGCAACAGAGGGAGACTCTTGACTCAAAAAAAAAAAAAAAAAAAGAAAAAAGAAAAAGAAAAAAGAAAGAAACTTGCTTTAGGTCTCTTTAGGAAAGAGGAGGAGCTTAGATCTGAACCCAGGCAGTGTGGTTGAGGAATTACTATCCTGGCCTTTTGGAGTCTGTCTGGGGAAGAGCCGTAGCCTACCAATCCACACTCCACCCAGTTACACATGCAGTTTGACCTGCCCTGCCTCGTGGGACTTCTGTGATTTCTGGCACCGATGCAGGGATAAGAGGTCTGGGGAGGCCTGAGCCCACCGTGCTATGCCCCGGGCAGGCCCTGTCATCTGTGGACTGTGAGGGTGAAGGTCATCAGTACTTGAGGATATCCCCCATACAAAAACCAGTCTCCTTCCCAACTGGGAGAACCACTGCCCTGGCTGCAGGCCTCCTCCTCCACTGCCTCCCCCAAAGTACCCACTGGGTGCTAATCACCTGGAACAACTCAGGCCATTAAGAACAAAAGTGAGAGGAAGCTTCCCTCCATGAACCAAGAGCTTAAGAGACTGCAGGTCCCTGGAGGGGAGGAACCCACAGTGAGACCCAAATCCCCTTCCTGAATTTTCTCCAGCAGCAACACTAGTCACCACAAGGCCGCCATCGCCTGCTGTAGATCTCAGCCCCAGCGTCATCTCCTCTGCAACACCCCCACGCCCCCCAGGGCTGGTTCCCTCTTGCTCCTCTCCGGAGCACCTGGTGCCTTCTATGCTGCAGGGCAGGGAACTGTCTACAGTGTCTGTGCCTCCCTCACAGGCCGGGGCTTGGGTACAGTTCACCGTGTCTACAGTGTCCGTGCAGGGGGTGCCTTGACAGGGTTAGCAGATGGGTCCTCAGTTCTCTACCCAGTGACGCACATGCCAGCCCAGATCCAACATGCCCCCTCTGGAATGGGGGTGTCTTAGCCCCCAGTCCCTTCCTCCACAACTAACTCTTCCTCGTGGCTTTCATAATCACTATCTTCTTTCAAATCCCACATCCTTGTCCCTGCTCCTGCTGCATCTGGCACCCTCCGATGTAGCACCAGAATCACGGGTTACCATGGCAGTGCCCTCCTACCTCCAGGGCAGGCATGGGCAGTAGGTCCCCAAGTCCCTTGGGATGGGGCCCATACCACACCACAGTAAGTGCTGGGGGCACTTAGGGCCACATGGCAGCAACACTGTGCCCCAACCTCCTGAGGTCTTTGCTTCTCTCAGTGGGAAGTGATAGAAAACATTATTTTTCTGATTGAACCCACTTGGATATGGTAAAGAACTGGCAACAACATTCCCGTGAAAATTTCACAATGAGAGTATGGACGCCTGCAGGACACTGGCCGCAGGGGAGCTGCCTTTGAGATCTGTCCCCTTTGCCCCCGGGGTCTACGCCTTCTCCCTCCGGCCACTAGAACCATCAAGGCCCAGCGTGTTCTGGGCTCTCTACCGCCTCCCCTCCCCACCACCTCAGAAAGCCACCGAGGTCTTCAGATTTCCTGGCGGCTGGTCTGGTCTTTCCAAGAACGCAGATTTTAAGGCTTGAAAGCTAATGACCTTAACGCTCAGTTAACCCACAGCTGACAGAAGGTTCCAAAGGGGAGCTGGAGGGGCTAGCTTGGGGTCAAGCAGCCAGAAGCAGAGGCCAGCTGGAATTTCCAATGGTGTTCGCCCCACCTCAGCATGAGGGGCCCTGGTCACCACCCACAGGATCATGGCCACCACATGGTGGGGCTAAGCCAGTGGGGCAGGGGTCGAGTGGGAGTGGAACAGGGATCCCAGCCCTGTGATCCATCTTGCGCCGCCCCGTCCTACCTGCTGTGAGTCTCCTAGGCCAGCCTGCATGGGGCTGTCCAGTCACAGGACAGCCAGGGGCGACGACTCTCACATCCCACACAGTTGCGGGTAGCCTGGCTGGCAGGGGTCCCTGTGGGGAGAGCGTGGCTGTGGTTGGCGAGGGGATCGGAGTGGGAGGGGGGGATGCAGCGGTGTTGGATTCTGCGGGCTCTGCTCTGAGCTCCCGCCCAGAACCCCCACTAGCCTGGGCCTGAGCACAGCCACTCGCCACTCCCTCTGAGAGCCCACGCTGCCGCCAGCTCCTGCGGGAGGAAGAGCCTTCGGGGACTGACTGCAGGACGCTCTCTTCTTGGGCGCAGGTTTGGCTGGTGTCAGGGGCCTAAGGGTTTGGGTGGGGGGGGTGTGCCAAGACCCCGGGAAAGGAAGTCTGGGTCCCAGGTGGACCTTATGCCGCCCGGGCAAGCAAAGTGACCTATGGGTCTGCTGAGAACACAGCTAGACTCTGCCCCTTAAAGGGAATGGGAGTGGGCTAGAGCCCAAAAGGGGCCAGGGCTGGGGCACTGAACAGCTGGGTCCTCAGTGGGCAGGGGCCAGCTTCTGGATCCCCCCAGAGACACTGGGGGACTCACATTCTGGTTCCCCAAGGTGCTAGGGGCCAGAAAGTGGCCCCCCAAACTGCCCAGCAAGGGAGAAGTGGGACGTGGGGGGCTAGGTCTGTAGCAGGCTGGTACTGAGGGGCCAGGCAGGCGACTGCCGCACATGAGTACAAAATGGCGCCAGGCTCCTGGGGAGGGGCGGAGGGCAATGCCCGTCTTCTGGAATGGGGGAGGTAGAGTCTGCCCGCAGCCACAGCCGGGGGGACATGGGGGCTCTGAAATCAGTCTGGGCACGGTGTGACCCCCCCCCCACAAGGGGGCCCCACAGACGCCCAGCCCAGGTGCACAGCCGGGTGCAGATTCAGAGCCAGGGCCTGGGCAGGGGGGCCTAGGAGGGCTCCAAGGCCCCTAGTACTGAGTGAGCCCCTCACTAGAGGCCACAGGTCCTGGAATGGGATAGTGGGGGCATTCCAGAGCCAAGTCCGTCCTAGCTTCAGCCACTCTGAGGTCTAGACTTCTGTCCTCCTCGGAGTTCTGGCATCTGGCACCCTGCCCTGTCCTATACTATCCTCCTGCTTTTGTGCCCCTCTCTCCTTCCCCATTACCCACCACCCCCAGCATCTGTTCCCCCATCTGCTCTGGGGACCTTTGGATAGGTGGGGACATTGGATATGTGGGGACTTTGGACTCTGAGGCCTAGGGGGGCAGGTGGGGCTGGCATGATCAGAAAGTCCCAGAAATCTAACTCCGGGTCCCCATACCCCAGTCCTAAAGGAAACTCAGGCACCTGCTTTCCAAACCCCACCAGGATTCTGCTGCCCTGCCCCCCAGCCCCAGGGCCACCAGTCGTCCAGCCCCTTTCCCCTCATCCTCATCCCTTTCATTAGCTCAACCCTCTGGGCTTTGCACTGGGTGGGAAGGGGTTAAGGTAGAGTGCTGGAGTGGGTGGGTGGCAGGGAGGCCGGGTTGTTTGGTGATAATCCCCCTCCGTGCCCAGGGTGTGGAGAACAAGGTTAGAGCCCACGTGGGAAAGGGCTGCCGTGCTGATCCCCGTGGGCCGGGGCCTCGGCCCCTCACTTCTTATCCCCCGCTGGGCACCGCCAGCCCTTCCCCTCCCATCCCCAGGGCCTGTGGAGCTGGCTGCTATCCTCGGGCTCTCTTGGGTGTCTCTGAGCCCCCCCCACCGGCTGGTCCCAGCCTCCGTCCCCCAACTCCCTGTGGACTCTGGGTGCTGGTCTCTGTCCCGGCCTCATGGTCACCCCATGTCTGTCCCTCTGTCTTCGAGGCTCCTTCTCTGTGCCCGGCCCTTCCCCTCGGCCTGTTCTCCTCCCCCACGGTCTCTACCTCTGTCTCAACCTCTATTCCTTTGTCACTGAGGCTTCATCTGTCCCTGCCCAGGCCTGCTCCCTCATCCCTCTTTAGGTTCTGCATCCACTGTCCCCTGCCGGCCCCTCTTGTCCACCCCCATCACCTCTCCCCAGGGCCCCTGCCCCCTCGACACTGACAGATAACTCTGGGGTGTTAAGCTACGGATTAGTTCAGGCAAAATTCTCGATTTTGCTTGCGTTCTTTCCCCTTTGGGTTATGTAAACAGTAATTCTCCCCAGATGGAACTATTTTCCTCGCTTTGAAGCAGCCGGGGAGGGGCTCGGTGGTCTAGGGTGGAACGCCGGGGTTCCCTAGGGAGCCTTGGGGAGCGGGTGGAGGTTGGTGGCCGAAGTTCCCAGCCGGTCACCTCCTCTCCTCTCCAGGTGCCTGCTCTGCGGTGACTATGCCTGTGACCTTTGCCCTCTTGCTTCTCCTGAGCCAGGCCACTGCAGACCCCTGCTATGATCCAAACGGCCGCCCCCGATTCTGCCTTCCTCCAGTGACCCAGCTGGCCAGTGTGGCGGCCTCCTGCTCTCAGGCCTGCCCCCTGTCCCCAGGGAATGGCCTCAGCCCTGGGGA